CCTTTGCATCAACCTGACTGAAATCCTAGAAGGTGCGCTTGACAGAAGACTGAGGAGAAAAAAAAAGTGCAATAACATTTTGGGACACGATTAAGACTAAAAAAGACAAGAGATGGGCTGATTGTTGCGCGAATGAAAGCTAAAGATTATGTGCAGCTGAGACTACTCACAAGATGGGATATTTTGAAGAGAAATGCATTCAGTCTAATGTCAGTATAAAATCTGTTGCATTTTCCAAGAAGGTTAACAGGTTCAGCACAAAGTCCATGAAATTGTATTTTCTTAGCCATACTGTGCTCTTCCAGTATTATGCAGGTACCAGGTGATACACAAAATAAATACTATAATGAAAGTAATGGCTTTACCCTTTGTAAGTAAACTGTTACATTAGGAGTTAGTAACAGCAGAAAAAAACATGACACACTGAGCCTACGAAATACATTAATAAAACAAATATTCTTCATTATTTTTGCTGACTAAAGATCACTAGTGTTATTACAACTGGATCCTTTTCATTTCTAGTATATATTTTTTAAATGCTCTGTGGCACTACTTCCAAATGAATTAAAAATGGTATGATAAAATGATAATTGAGATAAAACCAGTGAATTAAGTTTTTAAAGTGAAAGATGTAAGTGTTAAAACCATTAACTGAAAATCCCAAGATGTAAGTCAGTGAGAAATACTTATTAGATGAAAAATGCTGTTATTTTCTGTTGTTTAACAAAGACTACAGGTCTTACTACTGTTTGATCTCCATCTTCATCTTTAAAGCCTAAATTATAAAATAATGCCAAGTTTTTTAAAGCAATACTATAATTTAACTGTGCATTTATGCACTTTGAAGCCATTTATTTTACAAACTAGAAAATAGCAGAAAATACACTGCAATTTTAAAATTCTTCATACAGGACCTCTCATGATCAGAAGTGTTACACATGTAACACATGGAACAAGAAAATGAAAATCACCGTGTGACAAATACCTCATGCACAGAATCTGAATCACATCATCCTGCTGTGCAAGATACCTTTTCAATATGAAAAACATCTTAGAAAACCGCTAACTTAAAAGAGACCCACATTTCAGTAAGACAGTAGAACTCCCTCAACTTTGATACCAGCACATGCATAGACATTTGCTCATACAGTAGTAAAACTTCCACTTGATACCCAATAAACCACAACCGATTGCTGTGACCTGAACAGAGAGGAGAAAAAAAAATCTAGAAAGTTTGCCTCTAAGTGGTTCAGCAAGCTTGACATTAAATAATCTCTTCAACCAACAACATCCATCCTCAGCTTGTTTGTCCCAGTGAGGGTCGTGGCTCAACCAACACTAGTGTAGTAGCAAATACAATATCCTCAACAAAGGGAAGTCCAAAAGTGAAAGGGGACCACCCACTACTTTCTAATTGTTATCCTTCAGCAACCTGTCTGTAATTCACTTAATCAACAGACATTATGCCCACAAGGGAATTACCATTAGATGGTGGGTATTCTTCTTAATAAACTAACAAACTGCAGTTAACAAAAATCTAAATCAATAGGTCTCTGGTCAACATCACACAATGGACAAAGTGAATTAGATAGAAATCCCTTGTTTCCTTGCCACCCTGATTATCTTTAACAAGCTTAAGTGTTTATTAGACCTAATTAAAACAGCTGGTTGGAGATGCAATCCCATGAGAAGAGGAGAAAGCAAGCATTGATAGCTCCCCACAGGAGGTAGCGAGTCTGTGAAAGGAAAAGTTAACTTTGTTTAAACATTCTCTCCAACGCCACACATCCAATCCAGAAAAGGATTCATTCAAGGAAGCTTTTGAGAAAACAAAGACATGGCACACTGCAGTGCTGCTGTGATGTCTAGCCATGTCGGCAAGCTCCTAACTCCGGGACTTAATTGAAAATCTTTTCACCATGTGTGTACCATACCTTAAACGCAATATTCAGATTATTTATCATTTCATCCCTCCAAATACAGTACTTTCACACAGCAATTGGAGGAACATTGTCAAATCAGCGGTTTCCTGGTTTGGCTTTAAGTTTGAGTTTGAGTCATAACAGGACCAGATAACAGAAAACAAAAATGGTATAGTAGTGTGTTTCTAAGTTTCTATTTTAAAATGAAGTGCTAAACTAAAGCAAATAAATGATTTGGGAGCAAAGTACAAAGAACTTTTCAGGGTAAAAAAATAGTTACTGAAGAACAGAATCTATTTTTTGCAGGACAAATATGTTTCAACTCATAAAGTTTATATGTTCTATATAACATTCATTAGAAAAATAAATTCATACTGCCAGCATGTTGAGAACTTTTGAAACTGAATTACTCTCCTCACTTTTAAGTAGAATAAAATTGAATGTCCCTATCCAATCTTCAAATTAGGAAAACCATTTAATTTGTTTGTATCATACAATACTTAAAGTATTCTTAAAATATTCAAACCTATATCTTCTGATCATCATTTTACATATGAATTAACGTCACTCACAAACTAGGCCCTTTTAGGTTAAGGCTTTGCAGGACTTTCTCTGAGTCCTCAACAATTTATAGCACCTTCAAATTCATTGTTCAAATTCCTTTCTTACTTCATGAACCTGTCACCTCCCTTAAGAAGTGCAGTACAAAATCTGACAACACACTGCTGCATAAGTTATATTTAACAATCAAAATTTCTTTGAATTCTTCCTTTACAAATCACATTAAAGGGGCATACATAGTGTGAATAAAATGCAGAATACATTTGTGAAATTACTGCATATTACTCAAATATGGCTAGTGCTGCAGCCTGAAAGAAGCTGTTATTAACTACCTAATATATACATTACACTGGCACAGGTATTATACGCAATTATCATGGTCAAAAATGTACTTAACTAGGAAGTTTCAACTGAGTAAATATCATAGACAAGTAGTACAAAAAGCCAGAGTATGCACACTGCAGAAGTGAGCATACAGAATAATATGTTTTATTACTGTTATTTTGATTTCATGATGTAGCATCATTGTAATGGCCCAAAAAAAGGAAAGCAGAACGTGAATACAAAAAGTATATATGCCACTGGTGAATCAAAAATATACTCTTGGAAGGATCCGCTGAGAAATCAATTTATGTAGAATATGCAGAGATGCAATCTAATTCAGATTGTTCAAAGGTTATTGATCAATCATTATTTTTGATACTACAAAAACACTGACAGAAAACATCTTGATGACAAGTTCCTTTTTGTATGTGACTTCTGTTTGGCACAGATCTTACAAAACAGCAAGAAGTGAGAAAACCGAAGCTCTAGAACATACGCACATTTAACTTGATGAAGAGGACTCCAGCCTGCAATTATTAAAGCATCGTCACATTCATGACGGTAATCGTACAGAAATACCTTACACATTTTGAAACATTGATCCAGGAAATCTGTATTTTGTGCTATTCACAGGTGATGTAAAAGCTGCAATCTTATCCACACCTTTAGAAATGTCCTATTCCTATAGCTTTTTTAAAATCCAGTTTAGTGTTAATTGCAAATGCACAAACACTCACAAATTAGAGGGAATAAAAGAGATACAGCTTTGTTGTACAAATTGGTCTGAAGTGATCATTCAGATAAGAACCTGTACTTTGTAACAAAAGCCCATTTTATAAGCTATAATGACAACCTATTATAAATGGGGAAAAAAATCTATTAAAGAATGTTATTCTTGCCTTTCTATCAAATGTGATCCATGTTTAAGCAATAACTGATATTAAACAGCATGTTCATAATATCCCACAAATGTCAATATTTTTAGTTTTAAGTAGTTTTACAAGGTTTCTTTTTGCATTTTATCTTTTAAATTGAGAACTTGCTATTGTTTTAATGTATAATGCCAGCAAGGTTTAGACCAACGATTTGCTACTTGAGACCATTACCATATGTCCGGATCATAAATAGATGGCTAATTCACATTCTTTCTCTCAGTGCCTAAACAAGGAATCTGACATTTGCTTTACAAAGGGGAGACACTACTACGGCACTTTAGTAGGCGAAATTAGGTTGTCAGAATTTACAATGCCAATGAATTTTAATCTGAGTACTGAACTACAGAAAATGGATAAGGTAATTACTGTACTTTTCAGGACTATAAGGCCATAAATTAAAATCTCCAACAACTTCTCAAGTGACAACTCATCTAATCAGTAGGACAATCAAGGCGAAGCCTCAGTGTTTACTGATTGCACTAATCAAAAATCGCTTTTCAAACACAGCTAATTGGCAAGTTTACCCACAGAAATGAAAGGCAGACATACATAAGATACCACTCTGATTTGCAGAAACCAAATATCCCATTTGCATTGAGTGCTACCAGAATGCACTTGACTCCCACAAGTTATCAGCAACCAGACAATTATTCATCAACTGCAAATTGGCACATCAAAGTCAAATCAGAGAATTACTGTTGGAAACACCCATAGCCGAGATTCAGAAAGAAGGTAGCCTTTGATTGACCGTGTTGCCCTTCCAGAATTGTAGACCCTCATTATCAGACTTGGTTCCCTGCACTGAAATCCTCTGTCCAGTTAAGTGTTGAGCTCAGGTAAAGTGTTTCATAAGACTAAATTCACTTTGAATTTTAAGGGTAGAAACCTAAATGCGTATGCCTTTAACAACAATAATATACATATAAATAAACTTTTGACAATATCTGCTGGTATCTCAAAAACTGAGTGCAGGAATCTATGTGAACATGTTTTAAAATCACACACTAGTGACCAATGTACGTATTCAAATGTACAGAAAAACCATGGAAACCAACATCATACACCTTTTTTATTATAAAAATTAACAAGACTTCCACCTTCCTTCTACCCCATCCTGCTCTTTTATTACTACTGTCACGTTACTGTTCACATATTC